GCAACACGCTAGCTGCTGCACCTGTGTCAACGAGGAAACGGCGTTTGGTTATGACGTCAGATATGTAGAGCAGTGTAGTGTTTGAAATGGCGGGGTCACTGGCCATTAACAGTCCCCGCCGAAGTAGTTTCCCGACCAGGAACAAGGAGCCCTACAGTTGCGGGCTTGGTGTCCGAACTTCTGGTGGTAAGAACAAAGCTTTCCCCGACGTTCTCGCTGTCGCCTAGAGACTGATACTGGATTCGCATGGTACGTTTTCCCTGGGTGGACGAAACGCCGATTCTGGAGGACGTCGAGTTGTTGGGTGTCTGTAGTCTGCTGTGTATCACTGAGGTGGGACAATATAGTGTTCTCAGACGTCGTATGAAGCCGGTCTGCCAGTGTAGCCAGCTGGGCTAATGGGGTGTCGTCAGCCATACTGAATAGGGCCGGTTGAATGTGTTTTGGACAGAGTTGTATCCACAGTGATCTCACAATCTCGCTGGGGGCCGGGTCAGTTGCAGTATGCATCACATACTGAATATGCCGCAGAAGCTGAGCTGGTGTTTTGTCTGCTAATCTTTTGTCAGTGAGGAGTTGGTCCCTTTGTTGAATGCGGCGTTTCATTGCTGCCTGTAGAAGAGCGGCCTTCAATGCAGTGTACGTCCTGGTGTCCGGTGATGGCGCGGTGATGACAGCGGAGGCAGTGTGCATAGCCTCCGAGGGAAGTGTTGGCAGGGTACAGGCATATCGGGCTTTCTCAGTCGAAATTTCGTGAAGGTCGAAAATAGCCTCCATCTGCATGAACCAAAATTCTGGCTCATCTGCGTTGTATGCTGGAAACCTGGTAGATAAATCCATGGCGAAGATCTAGTTTGTGACTAGGTGTTCTTTGTCACTCACTGGGTCACCAATGTAACGGTTCTATTGTTACGTAAAGTATGGTGACAAATAAACACAGACACTAGATACTAGATAGATAAACACAGACACTAGATACTTAATCACGTGTTTATTTTCGTGATATACACACACTATATATTTGGTCGAATATACAGAAGTACACAGGTGATACTTTGGTGTGAGTTGAGCGCACTGAGCGTTGGTACAGTATCTCGCAAGTGTCTGCTCTAGACCACACTTGAAAGTAGACTAGCCAATGTTCGATTGATTGATTGATGAAGATTAAGCCACCCAAAAGGTGGCACGGGCATGAATAGCCCGTAAGTAGTGGCCCTTTTGAGCCATCACCAGTATCAATAGATGATACTGGAGATCTGTGGAGGTGCGACTGCACCCTGCGTGACGGGAGATGTCTCCCGGACCAAATGGTGTGTGTCCAGATCCTATGGTGAGCCAATGTTCGCTACACCGCTGCTTATATGCTCGGGCAACACCTCACCGTGTTGCCCAGGCAACGCCTCACCTCATTCATCTCCAAAAGTTGACAGGAATATTAACAATGCATTTGGAGCGAGTATATTATTGGGATAATCTACTCGCTACACTCTATACCAACGGCCTCCCGAACATGGTGGTTTCGGATACACTCCTCGCGGCCAAACACGCAGCTATTACTACCACCATCAAGGCGACTTCGAATGCAACCACCCAGCCGGACGACCCAGCAGCGGACCTCGCACCCGACCCCACGCCGGGGGTGGACTGGACGCCTCCCACACTTCAGCCGACACCGGAGCTTCAAGGAACAACGACGACGCCACACACGACGCCCGAGCACCCTCACCATAGGTTGGCGCCTGCTTCATACTCTACACTCTACACAGACGACCCGAGTCTCCACCGTTGGGTGGCGAAAGCAAGACGAGACCTGGCCTATCACCAAAGGATACCAAAGGATACCTGATCAACCAGGCTGTGACTCATACGTCAGGCTACGAGCAACCGCGTCCAACAGCCTGGCTGATCAGTCCAGCAACCAGGAGGTCTGGTCGACGACCGGGCCGCGGACTCGCCAAGCTCCGGAAGCACCTCAAGGTGCTTGAGGTGCACTGCACCTCAAGCACCCACCCACTCACTGCAACAAGACTATCGACGGAAGAGAGAGACTGCAATGTCCTGACCCAATACACGTCGAGACCGAAGCCATGTAGTACTACATCGACCTCTCAATACTACGCAAGGAATACTACGACCCCGAGTACTATAAGACTTACTCCGACGGACAGCTGGAATTCCACGACGACTCCAACGACAGCCCGGTGAACGGCACGACGACGAAGAAACAGCGAATTAAGCTGAGGATAGCAGATGAAACGCGACGCATCCATCCATAAGCCACCTGCTTGAACAGCCAAGTCTCCTGCAGGACACAAACTGCGAGCGACCATGAAGATCCCCATTCATCCACAGTCGAAGATATCAATACTACACAGTATCAGCTTCTGGTACTGGTAACGCCTCCACAGCCTCCACTTACCCGTTCATGTTGTTGTTGTTAAAGATTCGCCACCTGGAACAAAAAGTTCCAAGCAACACGGGCTATGGTGAGCCCGTAGACTACTTTAATGTTTACCCGTTCATGCCCGTGCCACCTCTTGGGTGGCCTAATCTTCATCAATCACCTTATAAACATTCAAACTGCCTTTTATAATGGTAACAAGAGTTAACAAAACACGTCTCCAAGCGCCAGACTAAATTTAATAGTAAAATAAACTTTAGAGAGCTAATTTTTCAACTTTCTTAAGTGAAGAAAACATGAGAAAAAATGGAGAAGATGGGAAGGGTTAGATCAATGATTATAACACCGAATCTTGACAGTTGGGCGAGTGTTTGATGCGTAGTTTATCAGTTACGTCCAATTTTGTTTTGTCGTTGTGTATCTATTATTACTGTATTGTTGGTCAGTATCTTTGGTGATGGTCTGGATGTGCGTAAAAATTTTGTTTTCTTTGATAGAGCCATGTTTGTGCATAGTTAGACGCCCTGAAATAAATGTTTTTATTATATATATATATATATATATATATATATATATATATATATATATATATATATATATATATATATATATATATATATATATATGTCGTACCTAGTAGCCAGAACGCACTTCTCAGCCTACTACGCAAGGCCCGATTTGCCTAATAAGCCAAGTTTTCCTGAATTAATATATATTCTCTAATTTTTTTCTTACGAAATGATAAAGCTACCCATTTCATTATGTATGAGGTCAATTTTTTTTATTGGAGTTAAAATTAACGTAGATATATGACCGAACCTAACCAACCCTACCTAACCTAACCTATCTTTATAGGTTAGATTAGGTTAGGTAGCCGAAAAAGGTAGGTTAGGTAGTCGAAAAACAATTCATGAAAACTTGGCTTATTAGGCAAATCAGGCCTTGCATAGTAGGCTGAGAAGTGCGTTCTGGCTATTAGGTACGACATTATATATATATATATATATAGTGTCGTACCTAGTAGCCAGAACGCAGTTCTCAGCCTACTATGCAAGGCCCGATTTGCCTAATAAGCCAAGTTTTCATGAATTAATTGTTTTTCGACTACCTAACCTACCTAACCTAACCTAACCTAACTTTTTCGGCTACCTAACCTAACCTATCCTATAAAGATAGGTTAGGTTAGGTTAGGTAGGGTTGGTTAGGTTCGGTCATATATCTACGTTAATTTTAACTCCAATAAAAAAAAAATTGACCTCATACATAATGAAGTGGGTAGCTTTATCATTTCATCAGAAAAAAATTAGAGAAAATATATTAATTCAGGAAAACTTGGCTTATTAGGCAAATCGGGCCATGAATAGTAGGCCAAAAAGTGCGTTCTGGCTACTAGGTACGACATATATATATATATATATATATATATATATATATATATATATATATATATATATATATATATATATATATATATAATATATATATATATATATATATATATATATATATATATATATATTATATTACGAGTAATAATCCCCAGGTGGCATGTAAGGTCTCAGACGACATTTATTCCTTCAAGACGTTCAGTTGATGGAAGAGTTCTTCATGAGTAAGTTAGGTGTCTTCTTATTGTTGTAAACTGTGAATCGTATCGTCTGGTGTCGGTAGGGGCCACGCTTCTGTTACTATGTCTTTCAGGACTCTTTCTTCAGTTTTGTGCGAAGGTGAAAAGAAGTTCCTGCAGAAGAGCTTTGTTTTCCTTAATCTTAGGTATACTCGCCAATGCTAATGCCCTATCCTATATGCTCTCAAACTCTGGGGTGAGCACAAGTATATCTCCTAATATTCCCGAGTGTATGAAGTAATTACAGAGCTCAAAGTACCTCATATCATTTGGTCTGCAATCATTGATAATATGGCAATCACAGATATGGTGTTGGAGAGTGTGTCCCAGCTCTCGTTCACATAGTTTACAATTGGAATGTTCACCATTAGAGGATTCATTACCTGCAGCCACCTGCCATAGATATAAATATCCCAGCCTAATTATGGCAATTACAATGTCACACTGTCTAGTGGATGTTTTATGCTGCCCGGACATATAATTCTCGGTTCTAAACATGTCATGGCTCTTTATACTCGTGCTTTCTGGCCGTTGAATACCAGTGACTGCTCTTCTGCCATCCCTAATTTCCTGAAATACTGCGGCTTTTACAATAGAGATTGGAATGCTCGTATATCTAACTTATTTTCAGGCTTATCACATCCAGTTTAAGGACGGGAGACATCTCCCATCACGCAGGGTGCAGTTGCACCTCCACAGATCTCCAGTATCAGCTCTTGATACTGGTAATGGCTCAAAAGGGCCACCACTTACGAGCTATTCATGCCCGTGCCACCTTTTGGGTGGCTTAATCTTCATCAATCAATCAAATCCAGTTTTAGCTGCCTTGTCCGTGTCATATCCTGCTGGACAACACCTACGGGAGATGGAAGCGTTAACTCTGATCGACTTGAGGCCATGTTTATTCTGAGTATTTCATAATATATTATAAAAGATAGTATAAAATAAGATCAACCTACACCTTCTATGCAGATCGTGCTCGACATGAGCGTGTACGCGAGTGGAGAGATGACGGTGCAGACGGTGGGGTACTCTGCCCTGGTGCAGGCAAAGGTCGGCCAGCGCACCTACTGTCGCAGCTTCCCGCTCCCCAAGGACACCATCATTGACCGCGTTGTGGTCGACCTCTCTGACGAAAACATCCTGACTGTCACCGCGCCCAGGAAGGTAAGTAGAGCCAGGCAGAGCTACTGACGGGAGATATCAGGGGAGGGAGAAGGTAAGTAGAGCCAGGCAGAGCTACTGACGGGAGATATCAGGGGAGGGAGAAGGGGCTTATATTCTTCAAGATGGCAGAGATAAAAGGTTAAATGGCGAAACAAGGAAAATAGAAGAATGGTCTCACAATAGGAATAGATAATTGCGTCATTATATTGTGTACGAAGGTCTCTGCTTTAGGTAATGTAACGATAAGGTGGTTCTGGTGTGAGGTCAGAAAGGTCTTGTGTGGCAATGAAAAGATGAAAAAAGGAGTCAGATCATTAGTGAAGTAAAAGACGTATAGTGATGTCGAGTGTTGAGGCATCTCATGATGACGTAGTGAAGCTAGCAAGGTTATACACGTAGCAGAGTAGATCATTCTCATCAGGGAGTAGGAGAGAGGGAAGAGTTTAATGCTTCTATTAGGATGATACGATGTGGGAGGGTGGTAGGGAGGGAATTATCAGGGGGAAAACGCCAAGCCATTACGACTATATAGGTCAGGATAAGGATTTGGGATGGCACAGGGGGTGGGGGGGAAGGAATGGTGCCCAACTACTTGGACGGTCGGGGATTGAACGCCAACCTGCATGAAGCGAGACCGTCGCTCTACCGTCCACCCCAAGTGGTTGCACATACGATGTAAGATATAACAAAGTTTGATTCATTGTTATAAGACAATTATTTTTAATCATTTCATCGCTAGATAATACCCCGTAAGCGCTTATAATATTTGCATTATAAAAGTTAAGTATTCCTTATAATTAATACTGCATATCATAATTTGTGAGGGTCTCTAATCCAAAGTTTTCTTTTCCCCAGGGTAAGGGCGTTGCCATAAATGTCGACTCGACAGGTGACTCAAAGTCCACCACCATCAGCTCGACGCGCGAATCAGGTGCCGACTTAACATCCCTCGAGTCAGAAATAATTCCTTTAACGTTGCAAACCGCCCAGACGTCGCCAGCGTCAACAGCAGAGGAGCGAGTAATTCACACTCAGGTGGAAGGCGCTAAAGCCACCGCTACAGAGAGTGTTAAAACAGAGGCGGTTCGCAGGGGGTCCAGCTCGAGAATCATTCCTCTGAATATTGAAGGAGAGACGGCCTCTTCCCAGACAGACGAGGGTGGAGCTCATCCAGCAGCCGCGCAGCCAGAGAAGAGTCAAGTTTCAAGCACATACGAAAGGGTAATTCCCACTGTTATTGACAGCGGGACAGCCAGTTCCTCAACAACCTCTCACACAGCCTCTAGTCAGGGTCGGGTACTTCCGATTAAAAGACGTGGTAGATTCTTCCAGGACTCTACCTTTGAGAAGGTCTGGGATGATTTTGAGTCCGCCATTGATGATCTGATGTCCCGGCGCGGATCCCGAACGGGTCTGGAGGACGACAGGTTCCAGTCCTACAGGAACCTCCGCCAGTGCGTCCAGCAGGAAGATAATCAAGCTGCCACTGTCTCTAAAGAAAATGGAGAATATAAGGCAAGTATATGGAGTATACTTGCGATAATGGAGTATTCTCAATCGACTTTAGAATGGTCCAGGACGGACCGAAACGTCGTCGTCCCTTCAATTTCTAGTGTGTGGTCTGGTCAACATACTTCAGCCACGTTATTGTGACTCATCACCTGCATATATGGAGTCTATCTTGAAGCTTTTCTTGATGACAACCCATGATCACTCAAGCTTCACATCTTCGCCTGATCACAGGTTCACTATATCGATTGTGGCTTCAGTATATTGACCTTGGGTTCAACGTCTAACAGCCTAAAGCTTTTGGAGATAGGGCAGCTGCCAGTGTGTTGAAGAGTCTAGACTGTGTTTATATTTTCATAGAATCTTAATATTGTGTTTTGTTCTCACTTGTCGTGCTACTCGTTACATGCTCCTCTTTGTAGTCATCATCGTGTATAATGTTTACCCTTCATCTCTCTTTCCTATCTCACTGGTGGGTCCGTCCTTATCACCTTCTCTCACTAGTCATTAACTCATTATATTCCTCTCACTCACACACAGAGATCACACTAACGTGATGCATCAAATGAACAAATCCACAAGGGCCGTGACGAGGATTCGAACCTGCGTCCGGGAGCATCCCAGACACTGCCTTAATCTGCCTTAAAATCCTGGTTTGTGCCTCGGAGAGGCTACGGGATCCTGAAAGTTCAGTAGAACTTCAGTTTTAACCCTTTTACCCTGTCGTAGCTCAGTCGATTATGGCAGTGTCTGGGATGCCCCCGGACGCAGGTTCGAATCCTCGTCACGGCCCCTGTGGATTTGTTCATTCCTCTCACTCCTTTATCACATTGCCTCCTGCTCCACACACTGCTGCATATCCTCTCACCCGCTCGTCAGTGTCGGTAACCAATCCCTTATCAACTGTTCAGATCGTTGTGGACGTGAAGGACTTCGTGGATGGTCACCTGGACGTGAAGGCGGAGGAAGGGGCGATCGTGGTCACCGGCAGGAAGGGGCCCTGTTCCTTCGAGCGACGGTTCTCCATCGCTGGACTCACTCAGCCCGACAAGGTCGCTGCCTCGCTCTCCGCCGACGGAGTCCTCACTATTACGTCCCCAAAATAAATGCCATTTGTTATCTGACAAGGTGGTGACAGGCTTAGTTTTTCATTTCATGAAATATAAACGTTTGTAACTACATCATGTAGGCCTACCAAGTGACTGTCACAAAGCGTCAGTACATTTTGTCATTTACTTAGGAAGAGATGATTAAACTTTTGTACTTCCTCAAATATCTGCTCTCTTTCTAAGTTGTATAAGTTCTAAGTTGTACAAGTTGTATAAGTTTTAAGTTGTAAGTCCAACCACTTGGGATGGACGGTAGAGCGACAGTCTTGCTTCATGCAGGTCGGCGTTCAATCCCCGACCATCCAAGTGGTTAGGTACCATTCCTTCCCTTTCCCCCGTCCTATCCCTAATCCTTATCCTGATCCCTTCCAAGTGCTATATAGTCGTAATAGCTTGGCGCTTTCTCCTGATAATTCCCTTCCCATCTAAGTTATAACTGAGCTTTACCTGTGATGATGATAAAGCGTTAAGAGTCCAGCCTCGTATATGGCAATAAAGTCAAATTATCAGAAACATTTGCGTCTTATAATTGTCTCCTATTATATTATTATAATTATTATAATTATTATATTATTATATTTTTTTTTTATATATTATATTTATATATATATATATATTTTTTTATTTTTTTTATTATATTTTTATTATACTCCTATTATAATTGTCTACACAACTCCACAGGTCTACATACCGCGTTGGGCTTCTCAGCGTCATCAGGCGTCTCACGCCCCGTTATCTTGAGATGATTTCGGGGCTTTAGTGTCCGCGCGGCCCGGTCCTCGATCAGGCCTCCACCCCCAGGAAGCAGCCCGTGACAGCTGACTAACACCCAGGTACCTATTTTACTGCTAGGTAACAGGGGCATAGGGTGAAAGAAACTCTGCCCATTGTTTCTCGCCGGCGCCTGGGATCGAACCCAGGACGATATAGGGTATACGGAACACGGATACGGAACCCGTATAGGGTTCCTGTATGTGATCAGAAGTATTCAAAATAAAGTTACTGCTACTTGTAACATTTTGGTCGAACACGCTCAGTCCCACGAAATAATTGCTTTTTTTTTTACACACAGAAATCCCAATTGCGTGATGCAGCAACTCCTTTTTACCATGTCGTAGCTCAGTCGATTAAGGCAGCGTCTGGGATGCTCTCGGACGCAGGTTCGAATCCTCCTCACGACCCTTGTGGATTTGTTTAAATGTTTTATTTTTTTTGTAAAGCTCCATTTAGATCTGGGTCAGTTTTGGAGCCTCCAGTTAGGTTTGGTTGTTCCGGGAAATTCTTATCAACGCGAGAAAACGGCGTACAAGTACCACAGAGATAAAACTCACAGCGCGTCACCTGCTGCACAGCACGAGGCAGAAACAAATGGGCAAAGTTTCTTTCACCCTGAATGCCCCTGTTACCTAGCAGTAAATAGGTACCTGGGAGTTAGACAGCTGTCACGGGCTGCTTCCTGGGGTGTATGTGGTGTGAAAAAATGTAGTTAGTAAACAGTTGATTGACAGTTGAGAGGCGGGCCGAAAGAGCAAAGCTCAACCCCCGCAAACACAACTAGGTGAACACAACTAGGTAAATACAGCACCAATAAAGATTGTCTGTCAGAAGCTATATCTAAGTGTTTCCTGCATCACACCGGTGCCAACACGCCAGCAAGGTCACACCTCATGATGGTAGAGAATGCTGTGTCCTCACCAGACACTTTCTTATCACTGAATTCACTGTATCTGCGTGTAGCATTCGTACACACGCATATTGGAGGTAATTTGGCGTGAAAATATATTAATTTGACCTGATTTGTTACATCTGATATAACTGGCTATTTAAATTACCCTTATCTAATTTAACGGGTTTGTTTAGTTATAACCTTTTAAAATGTATTAAAATCATTTACTGTATCTTCAGCAGTGAAGACATATGGTTGATGGGATTCCACAAACTGAAGAATTACAACACTTTCGTTATGGCTGTGACTTCGGATAAAAAAAACTTGTGTCTTTATGTATTTGAATTCAAGATTTGAACTACATCAAGTCTTTCGCACTCTCCTGAGTGCATTAAGAAGGTCTGAGTGTGTGGTTTGGATCAGACTTTCATCTCAACGGTTCTTTCGCACTCTCCTGAGTGCATTAAGAAGGTCTGAGTGTGTGGTTTGGATCAGACTTTCATCTCAACGGTTCTTTCGCACTCTCCTGAGTGCATTAAGAAGGTCTGAGTGTGTGGTTTGGATCAGACTTTCATCTCAACGGCTAATCAAGACCACAGTAAGTCTCGCCCAAACCACACACTCGACCTTGATAATGCACTCAGAAAAGTGCGAAAGACTTGATGTAGTTCAAATCTTGACTGAAAATACATAATTATGGGGGTTACATTCTGTTTTTACGTCTGTAATAAGATATTACTCATAAATGCTGTCATTATTGTTGCATCTCTACTAATAATTTTTATTAAATGCGCTAATATGTCTTACGTGAAAAAGGTTGCAGCAAAGGGCTGCATTTGATGTGGTTGAATTTCTTGAGGTTATCTTGAGTTGATTTCGGGGCTTTAGTGTCCCCGCGGCCCGGTCCTTGACCAGGCCTCCACCCCCAGGAAGCAGCCCGTGACAGCTGACTAACACCCAGGTACCTATTTGTGCACAACCCCTAATCTATTTTGCTCTCTATCTGAACAGTTTAAGTTAGTGGATGATAGAGGCAAGAAGCCACTCTTCCCGTTTTAAATTTGGAACAGTTGGCAACCCTTTGTTCAGCCGAGGCTAGTTAGAGGGTCCCTGAGGTCTCTTGAACTGTGTTCGAAACGTCCTGCCCGAAACGCTGTGCGTAATAGTGACTTTAGGCATTGTATGTACTAGCGCTATCTATAAATCCATCAATATCTGTATCACCCCCTTGTATGTATGTACTTTACCTAAATAAACATTTGAATTTGAGTCAAGACTAGGATGTGTATTGTCAGAGCCGGGAGATTTATATAGTTGGAATTTTTATATTTCCCAAATAACCTCATCTTCTGCCGCTCGTAGCTTACATAGCTTTTTGTTTACAACACTGGTCTGAAAATAGCGCCCTCACGACTTCAAGGCCTTGAGATGAGTTACTCAATATACTTTATACTCGATATAAATTAATGTCATGTATATTAATTTATAACTGGTTGACTTTTTTATCATCTCGTAAAGCCAGACGTTTGAGTCATTATAAATTTTCTGCTTGTTTTCATACAAGTGTTTTCACACACTGTATTCACCTAGTTGTATTCACCTAGTTATGCTGCCGGGGGTTGAGCTCTCCTCTTAACTGTCAATCAATCAACTTTTGTCTCACACACACACACACACACACACACACACACACACACACACACACACACACACACACACACACACACACACGTGTGGGCCTCGTAGGGGGCCTCGTAGCCTGGTGGATAGCGCGCAGGACTCGTAATTCTGTGGCGCGGGTTCGATTCCCGCACGAGGCAGAAACAAATGGGCAAAGTTTCTTTCACCCTAAGTGCCCCTGTTACCTAGCAGTAAATAGGTACCTGGGAGTTAGTCAGCTGTCAGGGGCTGCTTCCTGGGGTGTGTGTGTGTGTGTGTGTGTGTGTGTGGTGTGGGAAAAAAAAAAAAAAAAAAAAATAGTAGTTAGTAAACAGTTGATTGACAGTTGAGAGGCGGGCCGAAAGAGCAAAGCTCAACCCCCGCAAAAACACAACTAGTAAACACACACACACACACACACACACACACACACACACACACACACACACACACACACACACACACACACACACACAGGATAGATAAAGACAGACTTTTTAACACAAGGGGCACACGCACTGGGGGACACAGGTGGAAATTGAGTGCCCAAATGAGCCATAGAGACCTTAGAAAGATTTTTTCAGTGTCAGAGTAGTTGGCAAATGGAATGCATTAGGAAGTGATGTGGCGGAGGCTGACACCATACGCAGCTTCAAGTGTAGATATGATAGAGCCCAATAGGCTCAGGAACCTGTACATTAGTTGATTGACCGTTGAGAGGCGGGACCAAAGAGCCAGAGCTCAACCCCCGTAAGCACAACTAGGTAAGTACATACACAGAGGAAGCGGCCCGTAACAGCTCTCCAACTCTCAGGTACCTATTTACTGCTAGGTGAACCAGCGTATCGGGGTGAAAGAAACTGCCCATTTGTTTCCACCATCGCAGGAGATCAATCCCCGGACCCTAAGATTACGAATCCCAAGAGCTGTCCACTCAGCCACCAGCGCCCTATGGCTCTGTGCATGTTGAAGTCTACGCTCTTCAAATTCTCATATTTTTCAGCTTCACGTGTAATGTGCATGAACATGATTTGAAATGCAATTGGTAAATATATCTGGCGATCTTGACGTGTCCTGCCCGAAGCGCTTTGGGTAATAGTGGCTTTAGGCACTGTACGTACTAGCTCTATCTATAAACCCATCAAGGTTTTGTATCTCACCCTGTATGTTATGAGAGTTTTGTATCTCACCCTGTATGTTATCAGAGTTTTGTATCTCACCTTGTATGTTATCAGAGTTTTGTATCTCACCTTGTATGTTATCAGAGTTTTGTATCTCACCTTGTATGTTATGAGAGTTTTGTATCTCACCCTGTATGTTATGAGAGTTTTGTATCTCACCTTGTATGTTATGAGAGTTTTGTATCTCACCTTGTATGTTATGAGAGTTTTGTATCTCACCTTGTATGTTATGAGAGTTTTGTATCTCATCTGAATAAATATTTGATTTGACATTGCTGAAGTAGTTATATAGTCTGTTAATATAAACAGTCTATTCACATTCACGAGACAAAAGAAAAAGGCACAAGTAAATGAGGTAATGTTCGCCCGGGGAACATTACCTCTCAATGTTCTACCTAATGTTGGTCGGGTCGTAAATAACCTCCAGGAGCAGCAGCAGGCGTCAGAGTGTGTTTACCTCCGCCACAGCTGGCAGGGCGCCAGTGGCCCCCGGGGCCTGAACAACGCCAGCGACCCACCCACTGCTCAACACGCGTCTCCTTCATGTGCCTTTCTTTTAAAATATTTTATGACAGGACAAAAGTTTCTGTGTGGTGTCGAAAATAATATTGTTTCTATTGAACTTTTAAACAGGATGAATTTAACAGAACGGGCATTCTTTAACAAGTTTATATTATACGAGGTATGTAAAGGATTTTTTATTGCTGCCTCCGAAGGCGGCTAGTTTATTGTGCACCCCATACTCATCCTGTGAGCGTGTGACGACCCTCTGCGCCATCTGTGATCCAGATTTCGAGTTAAAACAGTTTACCCTATTAATAATGCCTCCCATCTTCTAATCTGCTGTTCTAGGCAGCCCGTCCTCACACTAGGCTGGTTAAAGCAGCGGCCGTCCTCCCCAGATAACCCGTCCTCACACTAGGCTGGTTAAAGCAGCGGCCGTCCTCCCCAGACAACCCGTCCTCACACTAGGCTGGTTAAAGCAGCGGCCGTCCTCCCCAGACGCATA